AATTGATTTAATTGTTTATGATTGAGTTTCACCTGTTCTTGATAACGTTTAAATTTACTGCTTGATAACATGTGTACTCAACTATGGGTAGTTGCATAGCGTAAATAATATATCTTCACCCCTTTCTCCTATTGGTTAATTCATTTTTCTGAATTGTACTGTAATTTTATCAATAATTCCTTCTGCTTATTTAAAAATATAGGTATAACTATATTATAAATTTGTTGAAATAATTCGATTAACATTAATGTTTGTGAACTTCGAAGTAGTGTCATTTGTTTATTTCTAATTTATTTTCCCATATATTCCGGAATATTTCTAGATAATCGGATTATACAACACAACCCTTTAGAGATAAGAAAAATCGATGAACCTTGGTGTGATGTTTGTAAAATCAGCTGCACAAGCAATGATTGTATTAAAATGTATTTAGGGGAAAAGAAACACCAGAAGAGCTAACGAAAGCTACAGAACCCGATTTGCTTATTTACTCCAACCAAAGCTGCTGCTAAAACACTAGCTCTAGTGAGTAACAATGCACAACATAACCTTTCAAAAAAAAAAAAAAAGTCGAAGAACCATGGTGTGATGTTTGCAAGATCGAGTGCACAAGCAATGATTGTCTTAAGATGCATTTAGTGGGAAAAAACACTAAAAGAACTTACGAAAGCTCTACAACCCCATTACTTAGTAATTTCTCCACTATTGCTGATCTCAATTCTATCCCTCACCCCACTTATCTCTTTCTGGTTGTATTATGCTTATCTAGTTGTCTGTTTGAAAAAAAAAATTAGAAGTGCAGTTGTATGGTACATTGGTTGGACTATGTTCAGAGAATGCATTTTGCATATGAGCTATTCTATGGACATTAGGATGTAATAGTTATTAAGGGCTTTGCCCAAGAATTGCATGCTTCTTGCTGTTTTTATAAAGTTCGTTTAAGATTAGGACCGGATTGGTATTAGTAGTAATCTAATCGCATTAGTTCACAAATCATGTAAATATCTTTTAAAATATCTTTTGAAATTCTATTTTGAAAATAATTGTTTACAATTAATCTCCATATTTGTCGTAAAACATTATGATCACGTAAAACTTAATATATACCTATACAGTTGGGTGATTTTTGTACCACTTTAGACACGAACATACGAAGTAATTCACGCGTGGTATAAGAGATAATTAAAAAATTGTACCACTGTAAATAGCTTCCAAATTTTCACTTAACCCTTGAAGTTAATCTCATAGACTTGATGTTGAAGTGGTTACAACATATCGTCAAGCAACTCCGCTTCAAGTGGCTAAAGCTGACTATCGTCGATGGTAAAAAAAAAGGATATTACATCAAGCAAAACTGTCATTATCATCCTTTTCTAGCTCATGAATGGCAAGGTTGCACCTCCGGTTTACCAACGACATCCGCAATGTGGGGTAAGTGAGCATGAAAAATCTCACCAGCCTCATTGACCATGATCAACCTGTCCAAGCGAAAATTTTTGGAGCAATATCGTATTCGAGGAGGCCCCATTGCCTCACAGTGAGATACTTAATTGTATCTCTTAGCGTCAAATTTGTAAGTAAAATCAACCTTTTTTGTCACGGTGGTACGACCCTCATTAAAAAAACTAGGGTTAATACCACTTTAGTCACGGTGGTACGACCCTCATTAAAAAAACGTAAACGAACCGAAAATTAGGGTACCCGATCCGATAATTTGTCATCGTTACGGTGATTGGGTATCATTTTGAAATTAACGGTTACCCGATCCGTTCCGATAAATAATTTTTTCTTTTTTTTTCCTACCTAAATCTATTTATCCAAAATCTAAACTCTTATTTTACTTCGTAATCATTTCATAAATGAAATGATTAGTAATTATTAGTAATTTGATCATGATCATGTGGTATTACTTTTGATTAGTGTTGAATGATGTCATAACACCTATATTATAAAGTCTAAATTTTTATTATTGGATATCATATTGGGTACCTAATAATGGAACCGAAAATCCAAGTACTTGAAGTTCGGGTACCCAAACTTATTGGTTCAAGTAATGGATATTATTTTTACTATTATTAGTTATCGGGTACTAGAACCGATGGGGTACCCATCCCATGGTCACCATTGTCAAAAACTTGCCTTCTAAATTTCAGTTATGTAACGCACGAGAAAAAACGACATGCAAGGTCATTTTTTTTGTTTGCCTGTGAAAATAAACATAATCATTGAACTTCATTTCGTGTAAAGGGTTATACTTGAAACAGTGTTTAGGAAAAAAAATACTAAATATATTTCGTAGGGGCCACATAAGTTCATAGGGGCCAAAGAAGTCTCGACAAGCGAAGCGAAATTTATGACGGTTCTCTACACACAAGGGAACTCACGTCATCCGTCACTGTTGTGTAGAGAAAATTGGGCAACAGCAGTCTGAATGTCTTGCTTGCGAATGCCTTTGACACTTTGGCATTGGATTGTCATTGTCTACAATATTTGAATCACTAGGAAAGTAGGAAGTGTGTAAATGTGATTGTCAAAAAAAGTGTCACGTGAATGAAGGTGAATTACCATATTGTATTCTTGTCCTTTTACCACACTCATAGTTTCAAGTATCCCATACACCCATTTGTAAATCGTATTTGCAAAGTTGGTAATGCAATGCAATTGCGACGGAATAATAATTCTTCGACGGAGCTTACAAGAATTCAACAATTCACCCTATATATATTCGGGGTTATAAATTTGGGTTGATGAGGTTTAAAAATAATTGCCACTACAATACGACGGTAATTTGAGTCAGATAATAAAATGTACAAGTATAGTTGAAGTTGGTATTTATTTTTCTAAGAAAGTACATAAGTTAATATGTGAATGTTGTTATTCGATCGTAGCCGGAACCCTTATCTAGAAATCGATACGGACCCCAAACCGTAAATTCGTTGAAACCAATACTCAACCAGAAGAACATTTTTAAGGAGAAACACCCTCAACCATACTCAACAGTTAAGACCATATTATTGGAGAAATTCATTAGACTAGTACAAAATTACAATGCTCCTAAAAAAATGAAATAACAGTTAATTAATAAATCATTGCCCTGTTTATCTTAATTTACGTAAATGGTTCCACTTGTACTATTTTTGGGGAATCCTTTTTCCCATTTTTCTAATTCGCTAAAAAGTTCTATTTGTGAAATGGTTGATAGCATATGGGTAATACCTAGCTGATTGATGTTACACCTACAATTGTGTTGTTGACTAAAAATTGTGTTACTTCTTTATAATTATAGCGTTTTGTGTAAATATAGTTACAAAAAAATAAAGGAAACCTGGTGAAAAAATAATACTACGTAATAAAAATGATGTCGACGTATTTGTTTCAAACCGCAACCGCTCCGCATTGAACCGTATTGTAGTGCAAAGGTCTAAAGATGTCAAAATAACATATTAAATAAATATAACAAAATACAAAAATCAACTTAATTAATCCCCCTTCGTAACAACTGTAATGATCCTTGTCGTATAAATTAAAATCAATTGAATCCCCTTTTGTAGGAAGCCTAATGACCCTTGACGAATGAATTACAAGTGAGTGTTTAATTACGACTGTCATTATGATCAAATCCTTGATGTAATGTTTAATTGCGATTTTCAATATGATCCTTGATGTTTGGATTTGAACATTGGGGATTACAAATAACTACCACAAATTTTTGATACAATTAGAAATTGGTAAGGTTTCCCAATTAAAAAAAAATAACGAAAAACGACAGGGAAATTGGATAATTAAAATTCTTAAATGAAATGCCATCATTACCTCCCCTCGAGAATTGGGATCATTAATTCCTTAGTTCATCACCGTATTCATTTTACTTCCATACTTCGTTGTAAGAGTTAAAAAATTGTTCATTCCCCTTTAGAGCCGTCTAAAAACCTTCAAAAACCTCGCCAAGTGAATTCTGCTCCAAGGTATGTTCCTATGCAATTCTCCCTTTACTTGCTTGGGACTCATTAATTATGTTTCCTGCTTTTTCTCTGTAATATTGTGTTATTGTTTACTTTGTGGTTTTATTGGTAGTTTCCTTTTTGCTGGTTTTTTTGATATCGTTCTGCAAGTGGTGAACTCCAATGTTTTCCTTCTTATCAGTAATGGTTTCCTGTGGTAGTGATGTTTCCTATATTGTGTCCGGTTTTTTCTTGTTTTTGTGTTGTTGTTCCTCATGTCGCCATCAATGGGGTGAGTCCTTCCTTCTTTATAACGACAACAATGGGGTGGAGGGGGAAGGGACTGATTTATTTGTTTTTCCCTTTTTCCCAATGTTTAAACTTTGTTTTTGGTTTTTGCGAATTTAAGAAATTTACGTGGGGGGTTTTGTACCACTTTAGTTCCGATTAAACAAAATTGATCAAGGCGGTACAAGAATTGGATTGTAAAATTGTACTACATTTCTCAGGGTGACACAGAAACTCCTGTTTTGTAACACTTTAGAAACATGGCTGTCAAAGAAGTGGAGGGGGAAGGGATTGAATTATTTGTTATTCCTTTATCCCTAAATTTGAAACTAATTATTTCAGGTTTCTAAATTTTTGCAGAGTACTATGTGGGCTTTTTGTACCATTAAAGTAACAATGCAGCGACAATGTTCAGCGTGGTACATGAAATTGATGATGAAATTGTACTACTTTAATCACAACGGTACAGAAACCCGCTACTTTCTACCACTTTGGAAACATGGATCTACCTGGTCAATTTTTTCTTTGCTTTTCAAAGTAGTGGAGGGGGAAGGGACTGAATTATTTATTTCTCCTTTCTGTCCAATTTTTAAACCATTAATGTCGGGTTTATGATTTTGTAAAATTATTTGGGCGATTTTTGTAGTACAAGTAATGGATGAGAACATTGTACCACTTTAGTCATGATGGTACCAAAACCCCCTCTTTCGTACTAATTTAGAAACATGGATTTAACCTTTCAATTTGTCTTCGGCTGTCAAAGAAGCTACGATGGGTGACCGGGACGTGACTGAGGTAGAAGGGAATCTTACAAAGTTGCACTCAGAGATGGACAAAATCATTGCACAGGAGAAGATAAAGTTAGAAGAACTAGATAAGATGACAGCATTACATAAGGCAAAGCTAGAAGAAGCGAGGTTTTTGTCGGGCCGTTTGCACCAACTCCGGGAACAGCGAATTACACGCCTTCAGAGTGAAATTGACGCAATCCATTCCAGCCAGGTTATGCCGTTGGAAATGAGCAACCTGATGAAAGGATTATCGAGGAGGACAGGGGTGGTGCTGTGGCTATTTGTGGTGCTGATGCTGGTAATGGTGATGAGGATATGGAGGACCAGAATCAAGATGGGAATGCTAATGACGAGGATGAAGATGATGAGGACGAGGACTACGACGATGAAGATGATGATGACTACGACCTTGAATATGATGAGAATGAGGAAGATTCAGAAGATGAAGATGATAAGGATGAGGAAGATGCAGAATATGAAGATAAAGATGATGAACATGGGAATGAGGACGAGGGTGAAGCTACTGAAGATGATGATGAAGATGATTCTCAAAGCTGGTCTACTGGCTCTGATGATGGTGGAGGTGAGTATCCCGCTTATGATGACAACAGCGGCTCAGCCAATTCAGATGCTTACAGGCGGCGCAGTCCTCTCCCCAATTACCATCCTTGGTAGCTTGGTTTGTTTATATTTGGTTATGTAATCTACACAATACCTTTTATGTTTAAGGTAAAGGTTAAGTTTAGTAGGTGATTAGGGGGAGTTTGAAGACAATTTGCATGATGTAGGATAATTGGGTGGATTTTGTAGTTAGTTTTTTTGTGTTAGCTTTATGTTTGGCGCTCTGGTATTTCCGGAGTATTTAGATCCATAAATATTGTTAATTATGTTGAATAAATTATGTTGAATAGACCCAAGGCTTTGGATGAATTTTCAATGATACCTACCGATTGAAGATATTACATTGAACGTAAATTTAGACTAACTGTTTTCAGACCCAAGGCTTTGGCAGAATCCTTAAAGATACGTACCTATTGACACTAAACTACAGTGGTACCTAAGTTGTCTTAGTGGTACCCAGAATTGCAAATCACTAAGATTCTAGTGTACTACGACGACTTAGTTATTAGTAACTTGTCTAGTTGGGTGATGTAAACGTTCTCCTACATTGCAGGTATTTGTACCACCCTGGTTATTAATAATCCATTTCTTGTTTAAGTGGTTCATCTTGCAAGTGGCTTTGCACCTCTTTGGCTCCAGTGGTACCTATGTTGTATAAGTGGTACCCTGTATCACATGACAAGGCACACTTCAAAATTTACACGGTTGATTGGTAAAATGGTTTAAAAACCTACATTTATTCTAAGACAGAATTGAAGGACTAAGATGTAGTAAGTAAGAGAAGTCTACTGTTGGTACATGTATGTGTTACGGCATAAAATGGTCTTGAACCCATTCACTGCCGTTAAAGGGTTCCCAACAGTGCTCTCCGTTCATCGTAAATATCTAGACGTCCTGAATAACAAATGAGAAAGATTCTAGTGTAGTATGACGACGTAGCTATTAGTAACTTGACTAGTAATTAGTGGTTAGTAATTTGAGTAGTTGGGTGACGTCAATGTCCTCCTACGCCGCAAGCATTTGTACCACCCTGAAGAGTATAAACTGTTTAGGGTAAAAATACCCTAAGACACGTGGCCCTATAAAGGCTTGCCACGTGTTAATCTTGCAACGGTCAGCAAAGGCCCAATCCCTTTGCGACACGTGTCATTGTACCCTAATTGAGGTACATCTCTCTCCTACTATAAATAGTAAGGGCAGACCTCATTAATGGGGATCGAATCATTTTCCACCAAGCAACAAAACACAAATCCCCTTTGTAAACTCTCTCAAATCGAGAAGCATTTATTGTCTTATTTCCTCACTAAGAAAGAGACTAACCTAATCTTCAGCGGCGAAACACCCCAGCCTCAGCCGGAGAATTCCGTTATTTGTGCAGGTATAGGCTAAGGAAGGAGCATACTAGGAAATTGTAACTCTCCCGTAGGACACATAAAAAACCCTCAAACATCTGGCGCCGTCTGTGGGGAGAGTACTTTCTAGATGACTTTAGAACCGGTACTTCCGGGTAAAGGTAGTCAACCTGCTGGTGAGGCTGAGGTCCACTCGGACTAAGATACAGCCGATAATCATGAGATTGAGACTTACACAGCTGTCGATGGTTCTTTCAGAACCAAACACACTCGTTCCAAAGACAAAAGGGAACGGGCAGAGCAGCAGGCAGACCCAAACCATCCCACCAGGACCACTTGGCTTAACTCTTGCTTCGGAAGGGGCCACCCAGGTCTCCAAGGATGAACTCATGAACATGATGATGAGTTTCAAAGGGGAGATCAAAGGCCTTCTGGATAATACATCCGGCCTCCGTAAGGGTTAGGCGGAGGAAAGGCGTCTTGGAAAAAAGACGGCCAGAACAGTAAAGGGTAGAGCATCTACCCCGCATTCGAAGTCAAATGTGCCAGTTAGGCCCTTTGATTTCTCAAAGATACAAACTCCCATGAATGGAGTCAGAAAACTTGTTCTGCACATACAGCCGGATGGAACAAAGAAAGTCTACTCTGATGTTCAGACGCTCATTCAGGATAAAAAGACTCAGCAGCGCTCCAAATCGGCATCAACGTCAACCTTTCGAGATAGCTTCAATGTCACATCAGGGAGGCACTCGAGAACAAACAATGACAGTCGGACGAGCAAGGTTTCCGCTCAATCCGGCCCTCATATGATCCAACTGGCATTGCATGGGACACCATACACGCCTTTTGGATCTCCTTATGCACAGCCAGGTCTTTTCGGGGGGCAGCAGCAGCCACCTGTTCAGCCTATGGACTGGCAGCTCCGACTGCTAAACCTTGGGGAACAGCCAATGGATTTTTCCAGAGAAATCACCGAGATGACCCAGCCGTCAAAAATTAAAAACGTGTTGGTAGGTGCCTATGACAGTACCCCCAACCCGAAATATCACCTCATGGCATACACCAACCTGATGTATTTGCAGGGTTTGGATGACGCCTCATGGTGTAGGTGCTTCCCGGCAACGTTGAAAGGGATAGCTCAGCGTTGGTTTGGCAACCTTCCAGCCGGATGCATCAACAATTTCAGGACATTGGCCTACTGGTTTACGTCCAACTTTTCTATGAATATCCCTGCCAAGAAAACAAGCCTTGATCTAGGGGCAATCTTGCAGGGAGATAAGGAAGGGCTCCGGTCATATGTCAGGCGGTTGAACCTGATAAGGATCCAAATCCATGGATTGTCTGATGATGTTGCCTACACTGATTTCTTTAAAGGCTTAAAAGACGGATCAACTTTTAAGTTTGACTTGGTTAAGAAGAGGGTCTCTACCCTTCACGAGGCACTTATGAAGGCGGAGGCTTACATTCAGGCAATGGAATTATGTGATGTGTAACTTCCAACGGGTTACAAAAGATCCGACAAAAAAGAGAATCGGCCTACCCTGTCGGCCAAAAAGGAAGAAAATAAGAGAAAGGGGGTAAGGGCAGCAGACTCATCCGGACAACCTTTCCAGAAAAGAAAGAGAACGGATCCGTATGTGCTAAATTACGAGTTCAACAAGGATTATGCCTCCATTCTCAAAGAAGTAAAGGACTGGTTGAATCTTGAAAAACCGGCTCCTATGAAGAGTCCTGTACGCGCCCGTGACAAGAGCAAATATTGCTTTTTTCATGAAGAAATTGGCCATGACACTAAGGGTTGCTTTAGCCTTAGGCGGCTCTATGACCGGCTTGCTGACGAGGGGGCTCTCAAGTCCTACCTATCCAAGTCAAAGGATGCTCCCAAACAAGTAAAAGGACCACCCCCGAAGACGCCGGCTACTCAATCGGATACGGATGAGGATACCATCCTGACCATAGCCGGTGGATTTGCGGGAGGTGGGCCTACAATCCGGGGCACAAAGGATAACATTCGGAAACTGGTCAACTCAGTGGATGAGGGCCAGTCATCTGAATATTCATTTCCGGAAGTTAACATCTCCGAGAAAGATAGAGGAGAGGTCAGGCGGCCTCATGATGACCCCATAGTCATCGAGTACAAAATCGCCAATCAAAGAGTTGGCCGGATCTTGATTGATACCGGGAGCTTATCTGACCTCACAAGCTACCGGTGCTTGGAAAAACTCAAGTACAAGCCCAGTAGCATGCATCCGGCCTCATACCCTCTTGTTTGTTTTGGGGGAGGAGTAGTACATCCGGTGGGCATGATTGATCTACCCATCCGGTTCGGAGAAAAGGGAAAGGGCTGGCACATGGTTGTCAAGTTTCTTATTGTTGGAGAGCTGACTGCCTACAACTTGATTATTGGCCGCCCAACCCTTAACATCTCAAAAGCAGTCATCATCCCATCCCTAATGTTGATCAAGTTTAAAAGGGATGATGGCACAGTCGGTTCCTTGAGTGGGGACCAAAAGATGGCGAGAGAGTGTTACCTCTCAGACATCAAACCAACGCTTGACACAGACGGTCAAGAGAAAGAAATAGTTAAACTTGACGACTGTGATCAAACCTCACCGGCTACTAAGCCAGCCGGTAAAAAGAGGAAGGCGGACCAACTGGAGCCTGTAAAGGAGAAACAATAGCAATCACTGTCAGGGGAGAGGCCAGACGGCATTCGCCCCCAGCCGGCTGGAGAAATAATTGACATTGTCCTTGAAGACAGCCGGCCAGACAGAACCATTAAAATTGGGACAGTTGCTTTTGAAAGCTTGGGACCTGACTTGCTCCTTTTGCTGAAGGAGTTCAAAGATGTGTTTGCCTTTGAAGTAGCAGAGATGCCGGGTGTAAGTCCGGATCTTGTTGTTCATAAACTTGCTGTGGATCCTAAGAGAAGCCGGTCAGACAAAAGAAAAGGAACCATGGCGAGGAAAGGTCCCAGGCGGCAGCAACCGAGGTCAAGAAGCTCTTAGATACTGGGTTCATCCGGTAATGCTATTACCCGGATTGGGTAGCCAATGTTGTCCTTGTGAAAAAGCCGAATGGAACCTGGCGGATGTGTGTAGATTACACGGACTTAAACAAAGCTTGTCCAAAAGATAGCTACCCGCTTCCAAAGATAGATCATTTGGTAGACTCTACAGCTGGCCATGCCCTGATGATTTTTATGGATGACTACTCCAGCTTCCATCAGATACCCTTGTGGAAGAAAGACCAAGAGAAGATGGCTTTCGTCACAGATCAAGGGCTATACTGCTACACGGTGATGCCGTTTGGGTTGATGAATGCGCCTGCCACTTTCCAACGAATGATGGACTCGGTCTTTTATGATCAGATTGGAAGGAATGTGGAAGCGTACATTGATGACATGATAGTCAAGTCAAAGCTACAGGCGGATCATCTAGCCGACCTTCGAGAAACCTTCACCACCCTCAGGCGGCATAAAGTCATGTTAAACCCGAAAAAATGCGTCTTTGGAGTCTAATTTGGGAAGTTTCTCGGATTTTTGATTGATCAGAGAGGCATAGAGGCCAATCCGGACAAAGTACAGGAGGTGATTGACATGCAGTCGCCTCGTACCATCAGGGAGGCTCAAAAGCTTACCGATTTCCTGGCGGCATTGGGGAGATTCCTCAGCCGGTCAGGTGACAAGTGCCTGTATTTCTTTCAAGCAATCAAAAAGAGGTCAAGGTTTGAATGGGGCGAAGAGGCTGAGGCGGCGTATCAAAGGCTGAAGCAACACTTGCATTCTTTGCCAAGATTAGTGAGTCCCCTACCCCAGGAGGCTCTCTACATGTACTTGGCCGTCCTCCAGAATGCTGAACTTTGCTATCCCATGATTGAAAAATTCGGTCTGGCTTTGTTCAAGGCAGTCAAGCAGTTGAAACCTTATTTCTTGGCTCATCCGATTACCGCCTACACTGACCAACGACTCAAAAGGCCTTTGACAACTTTAGAGTCATCTGGAAGAATGATTAAATGGGTTGTTGAAAATCAAAGTCTAGAAATCACTTTCGAACCCAGGCGGGCAGTGAAGGGTCAGGCGTTTGCCGACTTCATTGTTGAAATGACAAGGCCGATCAGCCGGATAAAACTGATCAAGTTTGGAAAGTATATGTAGACGGGAGGTCTACTGTGAATGGTTGTGGGGAAGGCGTAATTTGTCATTCTCCAGAGGGGGACAAATACGAATATGCTCTACGGTTCAAATTTCAAGCTTCAAATAATGAAGCTGAATACGAGGCCCTGCTAGCCGGTATTCGCATGTGTAAGGCAGCCGGGGCAAGGAAAGTTGACGCCTGTTCTGATTCTCAACTCATCGTTAGCCAGTACAACGGTGACTATGAGGCCACCCATCCGGTGATGAGTAAGTATCTTCAAGCGGTAGAAGAGGAGGTTGGGGCATTTGATGAATTCAATCAAAGTCAATTACCCAGGTCCGAGAATAATCAGGCGGATGAACTATCAAAACTGGCATCATCCGTCACATGTGATACGCCTAGGTCAGTCTTCTAGGAAGTCATGGAGAAGAAAATCATTGAACATGATCCCATTGGAGTTCTAGATCGAAGCTCCACTTGGATGGACCCAATCCGGGCCTACTTGGTAGACGACTCTCTACCGGGTGCCTCATCAGAGGCGGCTGCTCTTAAAAGACGAGCATTAAGCTTCATAATGCACAAAGGTGAACTCTTCTGGAAAGGTTACCTGCAGCCGCTATTCAAATGTGTAACCCCAGAAAGGGGAAAGGAAATACTTGAAGATCTGCATGCCGGCTTCTGTGGATCGCACATTGGCGGGCAGACCCTTGCCAAAAGAGCCAGGCGGCAAGGATACTTTTTGCCCACTCTCGAGGCAAATGCATTAGATCTAGTAAAAAGATGTGACTAGTACCAGAAGTTTGGCCGGCTGATCAGACAACCGGCCACTGATTTGACATCTATTCACAACCCTATTCCCTTTGCCAAATGGGGCATGGATATTTTGGGGCCATACACTCCTGCCCCAGGCGGAAAAAGATACATTTTAGTGGCTGTTGATTACTTCACGAAGTGGGTTGAAGACGAGGCGGTAAAGGGCATCAAAACTAAGGATGTCATCTCCTTCATCTGGAGAAATGTCATCACCCGTTTCGATGTACCTATGTCAATGGTCTTTGACAATGGCCCCCAGTTCGAAACGCCTGTCCTAAAGACTTGGTTACAAGATCAAGGGATTTCCCATTACTTTGCATCCGTTGGCCGTCCTCAAGCAAACAGTCAAGTTAAAGCTTTTAACAAGCTCATCTCAGGCGGCATAAAGAAGAAGATTGAAAAAGCAGGTGGTCTTTGGGCAGAGGAATTGACTCATGTTCTTTGGTCCATCAGAACTACTGAGAAGGGGTCAACCAGTGAAGCTCCATTTCTTATGGCATATGGCACAGAGGCGGTGCTTCCTATTGAATTATATGAGCCAACACTTCGAATCATGTTATACGATGAAGAAGCAAATTGGGAAGCCATGTGCCTGGCTTTGGATACTCTTCCTGAAAGAAGGGGCAACGCCGCCTTGCGTCATGAAATCTATCGTCTACGAATGACGAGGGCCTACAACAAAAGGGTGCGTAAACGCCCCCTCAAAGTTGGAGATTTTGTTTTACGAAAGCTTGAGGCAACCGGTAGGGCGAACAAACAAGTGAAACTGACCCCAAACTGGGAAGGACCCTACCGGATCTTTAAAGAAGTTAGAAACGGCACATACCGCCTAGAAACCCCAGACGGAATGCGGCTGCCTCGTACCTAGAATGTAGATAACTTGAAAAAGTAATACTTCTAAGGAATTTGTAATTCTTTGTAAATAGTATTGAAATTTGAAAGCATATAATTTCCATTCATACAAATGTATTAGCACCTGTCTAGTGCAAAATCACAGACGGAAGAACACTTGATAAAAACCACTGCTCCAAACAGAGCAGTCATCCGGCGACACCCATCCGGGTAAAATGTTGAAGAGAACAGCTCCCTTCCGGGGGGTACATTGTTCTAGCGATCCAATAACTCAAACGACATTTTCTTAAAAGAAACTTGCAGCCGTTAGAAATGATCCTTCGCAACTAGGATTCATCCGGCAAAGACCTAATAGTTGTCCATCCAGCAAAATGAAAATCCTAGTGGGTTACTGCAACCGGGTATTATCTAAAAGCCACCCAAACGGTTTTACAACCCATCCGGCTACCAATGAAACGGCTGCCTATTTACTGATTGGAGTAAACAGTTGGCCATTTCAGGGGCATTTTATTGCACCATCCGGAGTAGGAGTAGATCAACCATTGATCACCCATCCGGCTGCCAATGAAATGGCTACCTGTTTACCGTTGGAGTAAACAGTTAGCCATTTCAGGGGCATTTTATTGCACCATCCGGAGTAGGAGTAGATCAACCATTGATCACCCATCCAGATGCCAATGAAACGGCTACCT